CAGCCTGGAGAGAAATGTGTGGCCTTAAGAGAGAAACAGACTGAGTGAATTCTTTTATAGTGAGTAAATATGAATATTAATATAAAATAGAAGAAAGATAAAAATTTTCCCACAACACAAAACACAGATTATTTTCACAGTTTACTTTATTAGAGATCAGTTTAGATCAATTTAATTCAGATTATTAATATAGCAAAATTTCACAACACATGTAATGTCAAGGCACTTTACATATTAAGACAACTGAATCAGATCATTTTTTGGTTGAGTCATCTATATAAGGAAACCCAGATGATTGCCTTTAATCATGTAATTTGCTGTATTCGTTCTTTGTAGCATAAAGAATGTTTATAAAGCATAAAGAGGGTTTATAGCATAAATTGTGAACACAACCTGGTTTGGGTCGAACTCAGACAATTCAAACCTGAGCAGTTCAACATGGTTTCTTGTGTGTTTGTGAAATCAAAGATAGCTTTACAAATCAGTACAGTCACTTCTGTTTTGACATTTACTTTAAAGGTGCTATATGTAACTTTTAAAAATAAATGTAATCATATGTGTTAAAATTCCCTGACTGCAAAAATACAAGACAGATAATCTGTGAAAAAAAGAACAAGGAAAAGCTCCTCTGCATTCTCCTAATGGTCCTAAACTACACCTCTGTTCTTCTAAAACAACCAATCACAGCCAGGAAGAATGTCTTCACTGAGTCATTTGTGCTTTAGGATTCTTTTACTGTGCAGCTGTGTGTCAATATAAAGTAAATCATGGATATCTGGTCCTACTGAATGTTCTCTAGTTGGTATTTATTCCCCATCATCACTGACTCTGCTTAATAGTCTCTAAGGTGTACTTGTTTAAATTTTTAGACTAAGTTGAAACTGTTTTCAAGAACTGCTTGAAAATATCACATTCTTAATAGATTCTTCCAAATTCAGATATATTTGTAAAAGGTTAGAATATTTTAAACATTCATTTTCTGTAGTCCTACCTCAAAAGATAAGACCGTTGATTATTGCCTTAAAAACTGAATGTGTCATGTTGGCGAACAAGAGTTGGAATATTAGTTAGCAAGGTTGAAAAATATGTTTTTGCCCATTTAATTTGCGGTTTATCCATTATAACTGTAGCTAGTTCAGTAATCCTTTCGCGAAACAAGCAAATCTCATATTTCGTTGTAGGACAAGAAATTGGATGGTAGCTAAAATATGCTACTGCTGGAGCAGGGATCTTGTTCTCTTCAAAGAAAAAGCAGCAAGGTGAAATGGGGTTACCTGGAAGACGATAATATATTCCAGCAATATTATCAATTAGGTAACTCTCGTATTTCTTCAAAAGAAGGTCGACATCTCTGTGGTAACCAATGGCTGCTATTTTTGCTACGGCTCCATCTGACCTCTCTAACCGAGCCAGATGGATCAACATCTGGGTGTGAAAGGCAGCTCCGTTCACCCATTGGTTAAGAAGCCGAGTGGTCATCTGGTTATCCTTCAGCATGGAGTTCTGAAAGAAGCACATTTTAAACCACATTAAGAACTTACGCTGACTTCTGTTCAATTTAGTTTCTGCATTTATGACAACCTAACTTTGACCAAAATTTAATTGTAGTCCAAGGCATGTTTATCCATCATTGTTGCTTTAATGCAGCTTCAGCTTGATGGCAATAATTATTTCCATGTGTGTCAATGCGTTTTTTCAGGTTTCCTTTTGCTACCTTAAAATTCAGACAGAATCCCTGGGCATTTTATTTATCAGCATTGGATTGAATAGTCATTGTTATGTGTCAACAAAACTTAAAGGGGAAGGCTGTACTTTTTTGCATTGGCCCCTTGACTTTACGTTATTACATTATGTTTTACTCACCCATATGAGTTTTGTGTCATTTGGAGCTATTCTGAAGGTATTCCGTTAGGTTGTATCTAAGTAACGTCTTCCTATGGGCAAACAAGTTGAAGGCACAAACTAAACTGTTCATAATTTATTCTGTATGGTATGCCAGCATTCATACCATGTAGGCGAATCACTGTCCCCCAGACATCGCGGGTTATATTTTTTATATTTATATTTTTTCAAAACAAGCCAAAAAAGGACTGTAGTCAGGGAATCTGTACTGTACTTAGTCTGGAGTGCAAGCTTATTCAGTAAAGCCCAGCCAGACGTTAGGGAGAAAGACAGACATATCATGCTCAGCTGTAGGCAGGTCAAGTCTCATAATTGTAAATCTAATCATTTTTCATTTATTTTTAATGCAAAATATACAACACCAATTTCTACTGCCTGTAGAGAATAATGAATTAATTATGATCAGATCAATATATTAAAAGTAGAAACGCTAAGACACTGTTTGTCCTTTCAGCTGTTACCTTACTGAGAGGTTGAAATAGTGAGTGAGTGTGACTCTTTCATTGACTTGTAAATGTTTTACACTACATGCTCTCCTTGACACAGCCAGCATTCAGACCCGGGTCCCCTGCAGTCAAATTGCAGACTTAAACAACTACACAATAATAGTGACAAACTGACAGTAAAACTATTAATATTTATATAAGGATGGACATAATAGACTTGAAGAGGCAGTGTGGGACCAAAAAGGAAGGTAAAAAATCAATTATTTAATTACCCGTAATCTTGTGAGCTGGAGGCTAAGTTTAAATTGTAGGTCCTTGGTGTAAAAAGTAAGGTCCTGCGGTTTCCAAAAGTAGAGTATCATATGCTTCATATATTCATCCATGAGATCTCGCACCTGTGCAAATGAGGATCAAAATGTTAGGGCTTCATTAAAAAATATTTCCTGGGACAACAGACTACTCTCTTCATACTGGCAGAGTTTTTTCAGGTTATACCTCATTGCCTTTCTCCTCAGCAAAAACTCTTCGAAGTATATCAGCTGTACCCATTGGTGGTTTCCCCAAGGATTTAGCCACGTTCTCTATTAACAAGGAAATGACGAGGGCCCCCAATCCAACAGCGTTCGCCACTGGGCCGAATCCTCCCAGTTGACTATTCAGTTTCTCCATAACCGTCAATCCATCGGTTAGTCTATCAGCGTCTTCAACCTGGTTTCTGAAAGAACTCAGCTCTGCAGCAGAGTTGTAGCCAGAAAACCTCTCCAGGGATCTGCATGGGAAATTATATTTTAGCAATTTTTTATTGGATAAGATGCAGCTTGTGCAAGCTCTATAGTTTGTTTTTTAAACATTTATTTGCTAAAGTATTTTGTTCTTTTTACAGAAACATACCACAACTCCAAGGCACATAAACAAGTTTATAGCTGTTTAATCATTACACACAAATCTCGTATTTATTAAAAGTACATCCGTTAACTGTACATGCTTTATAATAATAACTGAACTGATCTCACACTGGAGAAATGTACCTCTGTATTTAACCCATCCAATTGGGTTGATGGCCGCCATTGTGCAGCACCCAGGGAGCAGTTTGGGTTAAAGTGTTTTGTTCAGGCTGTGGGGATCCAACCACATACTACAACCTTCTCACAAACGCACTGCTCTAACCACTAGGCCAACACTCCCCAAAAACAGTTTAGAGAAAGAGTCTAAATGCTTTGTGAACGTCATAGTATGGCCAAACTCCCTAAAGGGATGAGCAGCCCCCCTCTGGATGAATCTAACTCAGCACTCATGAATTTATACTTCAGGCACCTTATCCTCTGTTCTCTGTGGCTGTTCCCTCGCACCCAAGCCACAAACTATTTCAGTTACTTCCCTCTGGCAGGAGGCTGCGGTCCATCAGGACCAAAACCCATCGCCACAAAACAGTTTCTTCCCATCTGCTACCAGCCTTATCGAAAAGGCCCAGAGGCCCCTGTGACAATGACACTGCCTCTTTCCCTCCCCCGTTCAGGACAGACAGAAGGATGGATTTTGTTTATAAATAATCAGCATTTCTGGTGAGTATGATATATTTACTTTTAAGCTTTATGGACTATTTTATCTGGTAATTGGATGCATATTGAATCTGAACAGCTACTGATGAAGTAAATATGGCTGAGCTGTGGTTATAGAGGAGAAGATTGCCATTGTCTTAACTGGGCTTCTTGCTAATTGATCTCTGCATTCACCCTCATTCTAATCTCCCTCACATTTATACCTGCGCTTGTTACATTTTTATATTTGAATACTACTGGTGGTTTCTGTTATTAAAATGCAAAAGCGGTGAAATTAAACCCTTCACAGCAGGAAAAAAGTATATTTTTACTGTCAAATATTGCAGTAAAAGTGAGAATATCTCTCAAAAATAGATTTCTCTCTCAAAGCTTTTCTCTCTTACAATACCTCAGTCTCCGCTCTCGATTCAGGATTTGGGGGGTCTGTTTTCCTATTAGCCAGTCTCAACAGAATTTACAGCTGAGAGGTTAATTAGGTGCGCTTAAGAAGAGCAGGGCCTTGCCTGTAATGTGGATGAGAGTTTACGGCTGTGTTAATGAGTGAAATTAAAAGTCTGTTGTCAAGCAGAGGAGAGCAGCCTCCAAGTGAGCAAGATGACTGGCATCATATTTGTGGCATGCAACTTATTGTTGAAATATATATGTTAAAGCACTTTTAGGATGTATATTAACATGTATATACATAAGCAGGAGCAGATGAAAAAGTCAGCCATCATGCCACGAACCTCACACAGATAATACAACACTTGTCCACATCCCAGGCAAGACGCCGCTAATCTTGGACTACTTTTCTTCTGGAGTTAGGAAGTCTGGGCAAGCGAGTGATTCCTCATGAGTATTAAAGATGGAGGTGGAACCACCTTTGCACCTATCTCACCACTCAATTCTGTTGAGACTGACCAATAGGAACACAGGCTTGCCCATGACATATTTTTCACACTGAGGGAGAAATCCTGAATTCGAGTGCAAAAACTCAAAGTTTTGAGAGAGAGAAGAAAGTAGTTTTGAGAGACAAATCTATTTTTGAGAGAATATGTTTTTACTCTAAAAAAAAACTATATGAGAGTAAGAATCTATTTTTTGAGATAACCTATTTTTCCTTCGAAATAATCTTCCAAATGTCAATTTTTCTTTTATGATATGAGAAAATATTTTCTCTCTAAAATGTTTGTTTAGTACCAAGCAATATTAGTTTTTGGTATCAGTGCAAACATTTGTGTTCTCTAATATATTTATTTTATTTTCAAAATTATTTTCCCTTTCATATCACTTTTTTTCTTGAATTAAAAATGAGCTCTGCATACTCCACATTAATACAAAAATAATTTTTTACTTGTTATTTTTATTGTACTTCATGAAAAGCTTGGTTAAAAAACTGATTTGAATTGTTTTTCAAGTCCAAAATTAATCCTCCCGAGTGTCTTGGACTTTCTTTTTCTTTATCAACTGTAAAGTTTTAATAATGTTTTCAGCATTAGTATTGTGGCAAAGGTACTCACACGTCGATTCCAAACCCATTCCACTGTCTAGACTGGAAGAAAGAGTTTGCATACTGGTCCAGGCTAGCTTGCTTTTCCTCTTGAGAAATTCCTCCACCCATTTCCTGTTTCCTCTTTTTTTCACGGGAAGAACAAGAAAACAGAGGTATGTTCTTAAAAAGAATCAGTATATGTTAGCTGTTCAGGACATAATCTTGAATATTTATGGCTGCAGTGGGTCTCAGCGTCCTCTCAGACAGTGGCTTAAATGCATACAATTCCAGGTACTGAGTTTCAGCTAAAGAGTTATCAACCAGTTGCTGAGAACAACTTTGTGTACTCAGTGTAATTTTTCGTGTCATTGATTAAGGTTTAGTCAATTGAATTTAATCTTTAATTTAATGTCTGTCTGTCTTTCTGATGGTCTATGTCTCTGTCTGTCAGTCTTTTTATGAGAGCATTTCACAGTGTATTTTTATTTTATTCATCTTTCTTAAACTGACCTTACTAAAGGTGCATTGTTAATGCTGTCTTCAAACTGAATGCTCTTTTGAGCATTAAAAATGAATCTGATGCTTTTCCATATTAAAGGTACACTATGCAACCGGTGTTGATTTTCCAGCGAGGCTCCCCCCAGAGGGCGAAAGTAAAAGTGCACTGTCGTAAATATGCACAGCTGTTCTCCTGGTTTCTCTGTCAAGCTAGGCGCGGTTGTTTTGAGCTTAGCAGACAGGCGAACGCAACGAATGACTAATG